ATACAACTCTATGTGTTTCTGGAAAGAGAAGCGATTGAGAGATATACTAAAATAGCAAGGGTTGAGAATTGAAAAGGGATAGACTTGTTAGGCTTAATGGGATATTTCTGGTTCTTAAAATATCTTGTTCTGGAACCATCTCCATTGACCTACAACAGGCACAGTCACTACGCTTTACCGGAAATTCTGTGAAGCCTTTTGAGATGGCCTTCTGATTTGAAAAGCACCTTTATCAAATGGTAAGATTTTTAAAATTTCCTTTATGCTAATGCACTCACGCACACCAAGTATTCAAATAATGTTATTGTAATTGTCACATTCAGCTCCTAGTGCAGGACTATGAAATTGTAGAAGACTGATGTCGGACACAGGGCTGTTTCAGAAGAAGGCCCTTTGATATATTTCCAAAATATCCGTCAATACAGCATCAAGCTGTTTTATAAATGAGTACAGGATCCTGGCCATAACCACCATTCTTGGTGAGATGTCTCAGCTATTGATGATCCTTTGTGTAAATAAATATTTCCCAGTGTTGGTCTTAAAATTGCCCTTTATAACCAGGAACCTGCTCCCTCCAAACTAGCTATTTTAAGACAAAATCCATGCTGCATACTTGATTTATTTCTACTACTATTTAGTATGCTGGCATTAATTCAGAACTTATCTTGACTGAAAGTATCTTGCAGCTGATTTATACAACATTGGATGAGAGAAGTGGACACTCAGTGCATTGAGGAGCAGGTGAGGAATGTCAAGTTAAGTTTGCTAACTCAGGTTCTGAGCAATGAGTTTGATTCCTCAATAATGCATGAGACAATAAATGGTTCCTGTGTTGATTAAATGTGTTTGCCAAGGGCTGTGGTTTAATCAAAACGCAAGAATTTTTTTTGTGCTGAGAATACTCTGGAGGAGCTGGTATTATTGCTACTTTTGGTTTTATTGTGTGGTACAGTCACATTTATCTGTGATGCCTTATCTCAAATAACTGCCTCTCAGATCTTGCATTCATGCATGACACTTTCGGTTGGTTTCAGAAGGCACAATCAAACCACTCCCTATTAATCTTCCGAAGAGTGATTTCACAAATTGTGGTTTTGTGTGGAAAATAAGTAATCATCGTTCACACCAATTTTTTTTCTGAAGAGATGGGCTTATGATTGATTCACAGATTGATTTGCTCATCATCAGGCAATCAACACAACTTGATTGACAGCCGTCAAGTCAACTGACTTAGAAGGCATGATTACTGCCAAAGAATCAATGTGTATGGTGTGATAGCATCAGGATTCACACCCAGATTCCCTTAGTTTTGAGTATTGGATTAAGGGAGGGGTAAGTCCCCAAGCAGAGCCTCAGTAATCCTTGACTGGGCACCAAAACAAGCAGATAAGGAACTTCATTGACAACCTGTCAATCAGTCTCTATCCTCTCTTGGTAAAGTGTGGCATGCAAGAAAGGAAAAACAATGCATGAGAAAAAGGAATGCAGAAGAAAATTTGGGCCACCACCATTCAAGTGTTCTCTAGCTCCCAATTCTCCATCATTGTGTGCCCACTACTCAATGCAGACAAACACATCTCTTGTTTCTGCTCTTCCCTTGTTTCTTTGACACTTGAAGAGGCAATCTTGCACCAAATCATTTTGGAATTATTTTCTGCATCAATTTAACATTAATTTCAACTGATATCTTGTGAATCCCATTCCCTGCGGAGCTTCTCAATTATTTGACTAAACTCATTTAATCTTTTTCCGATGTCAATTGCCAGTATTAATTCCTTGCCATGGAATCTGAAGTTTTCACCAAATATTTGTTAGGTTAAAGTAATTTCTTCGATGACCATCTGATGCCTCCTTAATGGTAATGGCATCTGTATTTCCAGGGGATGACCACCAAAGGCATGGTCAAAAAGAAAGGTCTTGAGATGGACCTTGAATTTGTCAAGGATTCAAGATCCGTGAATCAAATGCAAGGATTATTATTATTATTGTTATTATTTAAATCTAGCTGGAAGAATTGTATCTTGATTGCTAGAAGTTAATTTAGAAATTTGTTTTAAAAATTAAAAGTTAAATCATTACTCCAGTTGCTGGGAATGAAAGTCAAGGGCCCCTCACTTGATCAAATTCCTACACTCCTGAAATGTGGAAAAGACTGGAGGAGAAATCATTATCTAAAAGTGGGGTTCAGACTCCGAAGATGTCAAGAGGGATAAATTTTAATAGCATTTTCCACCCCTTAGTTATCTCCAGGTTTAATTCAGGAACAGAATGTGTTCACAAATACCATAATTTTTCCCTCTGAATGTTTTCCCACATGTTGACTGCTTTCGTATTTGTCTGAAAGCATGTCATGTGCATAGAAATGCTTTCTGTGACTACAACAAGCTATACAGATGCTGGATCTTCCCTATGGGACAATATTAAATTAGACCTTCATGCTTTCTCAAGAAATTGACTGACTCATTACGCACGGTAACTTGAAGCTGAAGACAGGATCTGTATTATGACTTGAATAAGGGCTGTTCTTCAACTACACATCATTTATTCTCATATTGCCACTATAGTAAGAAATATTATGCTGTCTGTTCTCAAGTGTCATATATCAATGGGAGGAAACAAAGTAGAATACCTTATTTTATCATATTGTGAAAGAAGTCCCATATTTTCCTGCCTTTGTTGCTGCTGTATGAAAAAAAATCATAATGCACTGAAGGTTGTGATAAGGCAAAAATGTAATGCATTGTGGTGACTCCTCCATGATGTAAATACTTTGGTATGGCTCAGTCTGTAGCAAGCTTGCCTTTGGGTCAGAAGGTTCACATGATTAGGGTGACACTCCAGTGGGGAAGTGCTGGGTTGTCTCTCTGTTCATGCAGCCATTAAAAATCATATGAGCTATTTGAAAAAGGGGGATACATTTCTAGCACTGCCTGGCCAGGTTAATTGGTCATCATCTCATGGGATCTCATTGACACAATTGGGTGCTGCATTTGCCTACAGACTTTGCCTACAGTAAGCAGTTGCAAAATGATGTGATATGCTTTTGATACACAGTACGATATATTTTGTATTGTGACTATGTATTTTGTAGGCGAATGCAGCAGCCAATTTACGCACAGTATCTAAGTTTTCCTTTGTTCTGGAACATTAAAGCCAGAATATCCCGACAAGATATGATGTTTGAAATGCTGACAACATTGATTGACAGGGTATTCGAGGTAGAATATTCATTTCCCAATATCTTATCACACTCTCTTTCAGGCACATCATTCACGATACATTCTGACAAATCACGAAGCTGCCACATTGCAGTTGGTGGTGCTGAACAGATGTGTTCCCTGAACCCAGAAATAACAGCACAGTTTCCCCACCTGACCCATATGCCCACGCAGGAATGGTGATAACTGATTTAAAATGCATTGGCAGCTTCTCAAGGTTTGCATTCTTGAGATATTTTAACTGAAGCTGTTAAAAGATTCATGTAAGTAAATATTTTTTGTGTGAGGAGGATCATAAAATCATCGTACAGTATCCTCTGAAATGGAAAATGATCTAATTGCAATACTTCCAAAATACATCAACTTGCTTTTCAATTGTATTTGTAAATGCATGGTAATTTAGAAGCAAATATTCATTCATTTTTATTTGCATTTGTTCATTTGCTGAAAAACATAACACATCATGGACAATTACTTTAAGCCAGTGTGAAACTAATCCCAGAATCAACAAAACAAACTGGAAATAGGTTCTGTACTAAAATGGGATTTTACAATATGCTGTGTAATGACTTCAAAGAAGTGCGAATACCGGAGACTTATTGAAGCAGGAACGTGGCAAAAGATACTCAAACACCAATCTCATGGTGATTTGCAAGAATAAAGTTAGGAAGTTGCATTTCACCCACAAAATACACAGTCAATTCACTTTACAGTATATTCTGTGAAACACTTTGAATGGTCTCAATGACACGATAAGGGTCATTTATTATAAGGATTATTATTATATTATATATTATAAGCCTCAGTGTCGATAGACTTCAGGAATAACTTCAGCTCTGTACACAGACAATGAAGCTGAATCTGAAGTGTCTTGAGTCTGCAATTCAACTGCCATCGGTCACTTGATTAAATCTGAGTTTTAATGCAAGTTTATTTTTGCAGATGCGATCCTACTAGAATTCACTGCATTCAAACCACTTTCCAAATCTATCATATTGCGGTGTGCAGTGCACGACTTCACGACAGCTGCGGTTCTCGATCAGATATTTAGCTTTGCTTGGAAATGTTTCCCCAGCGCAGACAGTTTCCTTTCCATCGTGGACTTGCTTGCCTTGTCCTTGTTGAAAGAAATGTCAGCCTCCAGCTGACATTTACACCTTTTAGCATCTCTCTGCAGTACTCAACACCTCCTAGTACTTTGTTGTGCATTTCTGTGCTCAAGGCGCACTCGAGGTCGGTGGAGATAGATAGATAGATGCCTGTGTTGTAAGAAGTGACTTGTCTTTGACATATTTTCCCTTGAAATAAATGCAACCGCCTCCTGCAAGTGTTGTGCGAGACGCCCAGACTGACTGGATATCAGGACTCTGCTCTGTGAGTGAATGGCTGTGAGGGCAGTCCCGGGGGGGGGGGGGGGGGGGGCAGCGAGAGGGAGGGTTAATGATCAAAAAGGCACGGACGTGAGTGTGGGACAAAATGATCTGAGAGGAGAGAAAACGGGATGAAGCGGCGCATGTGCCACCCCTCCCCTCTCATTCAGACACCAGAGCAGCTTCAACTGTCAGATGGCTTTGTGTTAAAGAGACCTTCAGCTGGTTTTGCTGAGTGCAGGCTTGGCTTATCACAAATATCTGCAGTGGCTTTCAATCTGCAGATCAGCCGCTAATCCTCTGCAGCCCCCACCGGGCAATGACAGGCTGCCAGAGAGAGCTGCCCTCCCAGTGCGCCCGGAGCCTCGGCATTGCCGTGCAGCCGCTCCGCAACATGTTATAGCCGCTTCCTCACAGAGCTGAAGCTTCAATACGTCTCGTCCCGGACCCAGGAGTTTTAAGCCATGGAATCGCCCACTAAGGAGATTGAAGAGTTTGAGAGCAACTCTCTCAAGTACTTACAACCTGAACAAATTGAGAAAATATGGTTACGACTCAGAGGATTGTAAGTATAACCCCTTTTTTTAAAAAAAAACACAAAAAATCCGGATATCGCGTTCCTTTCGTTTTCCTCCAACATCAAATGTTGCATTTCACTTCATTGTTCAACTATAACGTTTTCTCTAAAAATTAAAACTCCATCTATTTTACCAGGGTCTATAATGTCTCGCATGTGATTAGTTTGTATCAAACTTTTTTTTTGCCCCTCCAGGACTCGCTGCGAGTGAGATCTGCAAAGCTGTTGTTTGATTTGACTTATCACACACTCTGACACGTTGCTTCTCACTTAATAAGTTGTGCCGAGGGCTTTCGTGACATTTCTGATCACAGGTTTATTGTGGTGTCCGCTTTGGTTGCGGATTATCTCGATGCCCACATTGTGCTTGTGGTGGCATTTAAAAGTAATCCACGCTCTTCTGCTGGTGCTGACCATTCCACAGGGAATGGAAATCCTTTCCCGGGAACTGATAAATGCCACGGATCAGACATCGGGTGAGAGAAATAACTCTTTTTGTAAAAAAACAAAAACACAGCACCTCCAGAACTACACGATCAGGTCACTTTTAATGCACAATACCACCTCGTCTCCCGGCTGCTGTTTAACTGGTGCGCCTTTCCAGCCATGATTTACCATTTTAATTGTATCCTTTTCTCCATGTCCCTCCTGCCTCCCAGATGTTCCTCTGTCGGAACGGGTTGCACATCCCGATTTCCAGTCTCTCACGTGAACCCAGTTGGCAGGAGCTGGGACCTTGCCCCTGCTTCCCTCTCCTCCTTTTCCATCCTTTTTTTTAATAACGTGGCCGAGGGCTGTGAAATCGTTGTGCGTAAAGATTCAAAGCTTTGCGTTTCAGCAACACGCCAGCTATCTAGGACAGGGGGGGGAATGCAGCAGGCTGATAGATTTATTGCAGCTTAGGGCAAGGTGCAGATCTGTTTTGTGACTTTGCATGTGGTGCAAGCTGGCTTGATGTCATTCCAGCCCATGTTTCCTCCATCAAAGTTTAATCCTGGATATGAGTGATGAATCCTGCAGAGCCATTGCACTGTGTCACTAATCACCAGCTTCCAACTGAACTGGACAGCTGCCATTTGACTGAACACAATTTCAGGGAATGTTAATATCGTACTCTATAGCTCCCAATGGTAAACTAAACACACTGCTATATTTTTGCCAGTGAATTACTTTACCTCTGTTTTTTTAGTAATGCTAGAAAAAAATTCTCCATGTAGGATATAATGCTTTAAACCTCAATGAAATGTGGGGGGAAATTTTCGTGGCTTCCATTCATTGTCAGTGGTAAAAATAAGAGCTTTTATAATAATTACAATCCTTACATTTGAAATAGCGTTTTGTCAGTCATTGAGACATCTCAAAGTGCTTCACAGGATACGTTGTAAAGTGGAGTGACTGTGTATTTTGTGGGCGAAATACATTTTATGAAACAGTCACCTACAAAACAACAACTTGCATTTATACAACTGCCTTTACATGGGTATTGTTTTAGAGCGCTTGAACACACAATTACTAAATTTATAGTACATCCTTTGAAGGCTTTGAGATGCCTTCTACATTTAAAAGGCGTTATATCAAATGTAAGGATTATTATTATAAATATTGGAAACTTTCAACATAGAAGTGGCCATTCAGCCCCTGGCATCTGTTGCAGTGCTGTGTTTTTCTAAGTCACCCTTTATTATTAATCTTACTTTCCAGCTCTCTATGATAGACCTTAGTTTTTTTTACTTCTCTTAATGTATTTGATTAAGGGTTTTAGTTTTTATATAATATAATAATAATAATCCTTGCATTTGATATAGCCCTTTTCACGTCGGGAGGACGTCCCAAAGCACTTCACAGAACACACTGTAAAGTGAATTGACTGTATATTTGTGGGCGAACGTGGCAGCCAATTGCGCGCAGCAATGTCCCACAAACAGTCATAGATTGAAAATGACCAATTTAATATTGTTTTTGGTTTTTGGAGGGATTATTATTAGGAGTGTGGAGTAAGGAAACTTGCCCAAGGTTTCGCCCTGCCTGGAATTGAACTCAGGTCTCTCACTTGCAAAGCGAGTGCTCTAACCACTGAGCTACAGGACTCCACTTTTACTTAGCTTAATGAAATGCTGGCAGAGTAATACGTGTAGCTCAGTATTGATGGGGTCCCCACAGTCCAGGATTGTGAAGCACAACACCAATTCTGGCTTGTATGTATTACATTATGTATTTAATAAATGCCTGGTAGAGTAGAACAGGAGCTGGACAAACAGAGGGGAAATCACGTCTAAGTGGAACATTTTTCATTAATTTTCCCCATAACTGCTCCAATGAGTATCTTTCTAATGATTGTATGATAAAGTGGGTAATTCATTAAAATTCCACTCTCCTCTGATTTATGTTTCTCTTCTTCCCACAGGAGAAAATACAAGAAAACCTCTCAGAGGTAAGAAGCATTTGACAGAGATTCTAGAACTTGAAGGCTACCTCAACCTCTCACTGGCTTTTTCCTCAAAGTCGAGTAAAAACAGGTCCATCTCTGTGAACCCAGTCAGAAGCTTTCTGTAAGATGCGCTAGAAGGGAGCTGAGCTATTCAAAGCACTTCTTTGGCATTGGCATTCTCCCTTATATTTCATCGCTGAGCACAATGCAACTCAACATAAAATGCTGCCTTTCCCCTCAGCAAGCCCTGCCTGTTTGCTTTTCAGATTGTGATGAGGAAAAGCTTTTGTGGTTTGATTAACAGATCAGTTAAAACCTGAAGATCGTATACTGAAGGTTGCCTATACAGGTTCTGAGACGCTCTGTGCTCTGCGTAATCTCATTTTATTTGCTCTCTAATACCGGCTACTCCCATGCTGTAATTATTTCCAGCATTTTCATTAGAAAATCAAACACACAATTTCCATAACATAAAGTGCTCAGGGAATTTGATACTAATGTGTTTCTTAAAAAAATGATGATCTAAAAATTACATTTTAAACTCTAGTTCCTAAGAAAACACATCAGAGTGAAAAATGCAGTATCTGATACATTATCACAACACATACTGATGTTTAGAAGGCAATTTAATGCACCTGCTTATACATTCATAGAAAGCACACCCCACAGAAACAGTCCATTCAGTCTGCCTGGTGTTTATGCACCACATGAGTGCCTGTCCCATATCCTGGCTTTTCCCCATATCCCTCAATGTTATTCTCTCTTAACAACATGTCCAGTGTGTTTTTGAATGTATTCGTGGTTGCTCTCCGAACAACTAACTTTGGCAGTTCCACTTCCCACCCACTCCCACAACTCTGTGCGAAAACATTTTTCCCAATCTCCGTTCTGGACCACCTAGTTCTGATTCTAAATCTATGTCCTCTGTTCTAGACCTTCAAACACCAGAAACAATCTTTCCCTTTCCACCCTATCTAAGCCTCCCATTATGTTATATACTTCTATCATATTCCCTCTCAGCCTTCTGAGCCTCAACTAAAAAAGCCCCAGTTGATCAAGCCATTCCCTATACCTACATTTCCTCATTCCAGGCAACATCCCAGTGAATCTCTGTACCATCTCCAGCACTTGTAACATAACCATCCTAACCTGTAGTATAATAAAGTTAACATCATTGACATGATATGGAATAAAACAAAGGTAGATAATACACTTTTAAAAATGTACGTTCTTTATATTTTGCATAGAAATTGGATTGTTTTCTGTTACAAAAGACTGTTGAAATGTTGCATTAGAACAGGTTATTTCAAACATTCCCTGAAATGTAATAACTCAGTAATCTTTATTTAACACACAACAATCAATGGTTTCATGCTCAGTGACTACACAGCACTAAATAAATCTTGTTATACTATATTCTGCACAATGTTCTACATGTCCATGGAATTTTTGAGCCCATTCAGCAAATCTCAAATAAGAGAAGATCATATTTTCCAGTTGTTTACAATCCCTATGGCCCTACACCAACTGTGCAGATTCCAAATGCATCATTTTCTCAATGACAGTCAATCATTAGAATTTATCATCTGTAGCTCTTTGCCCTTAGAGGGGAAAGGCAAGAAACCGTGTGCCGAAGTTTCCCAGAAATTCTCAGGGGCGGTGAATGTAAAATAAAAGGCCATCAATCCTTTCAATAGAAAATCAATACGTTTCCATCCCCGTGGCAATGCCCTGCTCCCTATTGGAAGTTACATTGTGAGTAATTAGCAAATGATTTCTCACTAAGCTTGGTCACACAAGACTCTCCTGCCCCAGTTTTGTCATAGTTTCCCTCCACACATCCGTAAAAGATTACCCATCAGAGTTAGGTTACACAATAAACTTCACATAAGTCGTACCACTTTGGACCATACATTGAATATGACATATGCAAACTACGAGTTATGTGAAATTTATAAATAATAGGACATTCAATGGGACTTGGCAGATGTATGACTTAGGTGATTATACAATTTATTATTATCTTCATTTAACATACAAGTTTTACTGTAGTTACAGAAAAATATCAGATAGCCCTGTCTCCAGATCCTTTAGATCTATTTATCAGTAATGTAGTGGGTGACAGACTCTCTTTAAAGTTGAAGATAATAATAATAATTATTAAGTTTTAATAATAATCCTTGCATTTGGTATAGCGCAGTTCAAGTCGGGAAGGTGACCCAAAGTGCTTTGCAGGATATACTATAAACTGTAGTGACTGTATTTATTGTGTGCGAATACATCAGGATTTTGAACTCACATAGCCTATGTTGACACTCCAATGCAGTTCTGGGAGTGTACTGTATTATTGGAGGTGGCGTACTTCAGACGAGATGTTAAACCGAGCCCCCGTCTGCCTGATCAAGTGGCGTTAAAGATCCCATGGCACTATTCAAAAAGAGAAGGGAATTTCTTCCAGTGTCCTGGCCAACAAACCCCAAAATAATATTGGTCATTCACTTCATGGGTGTGTGTGGGACAGTGCTGTGTGCAAATGTGGAGTCCTGTAGCATAGTGGTTAGAGTACTCGCCTCGCAAGCGAGAGGATATGGGTTCGATTGCTGGGCAGGGCGAAACCTTAGGCAAGTTTCCTTACTCCACATGCCTCTGTTCATCAAGCGGTAAGTAGGAATCCTGTTGTTTTCTAATTGTTTTTCCGGGGGTAATAATCCCTTCAAGGTTTTTTAGAAATAATAATAATTCGGTCACTCAATCCACAACTGTTTGTGGGACGCTGCTGTACGCAATTAGCTGCCGGTTTCACCCACAAAATATACAGTCAATTCACTTCACAGTATATTCATTGAAGCGCTTTGAGATGTCTGGAAGAGAGGATAAGATGGTAAATCAAATGCAAGGATTATTATTATTATAAATTGGCTGCCACATTTTGTCCATAAAATACACATCAAAGGATATCGCTTTGAGAAGTCTTCCTGATGTGTAAAGCTTTATATCAAATCTAAGGATTATTATTAATGTTAGTTAGTGAGTGGCACGCTCTCAGTAATGAGTGTCAGTTACAAAGCATCTTTAAAATTCGGGAGATTATCTCAAAATACTTCACAGGATTTACTGTAAAGTGCAGTGATTGTTTCTGTAGTCGAACATATTTTTTAGGGAAAAATGATGGTTACTGACTGATGTTCTCTGCATAATGTGCGTGATGTTAGTTACTGAGCAATATTATAATATAATTCCATATTCTCTCTGTAATGGGTTGTTTTTTAGATAGGGGTGTTCAACCACAGAAGTCATTGAATATGATACTTCCAGGACCAGAATGTCCAACAGTGTGATAATTATTACATCACACACCACCTTTCCACCCTCCTCCCCTAGGAAAAACCTTCTGGTATGCGTGTACGGGGACTGTAAAATGAGATAAAGTGGATGGAATATCTAAACATTTAAACCAAAATGTTTTGTTAGCTCCTTTAACAAATTTATTTATAGACTTCAAGAAAGGTGAAACCAGCAGTATTTCCAATGGGGCTACTTTGTGCTCTGTGTGCTTTGTGTAACATTTTGTTACAGCGGTCCGAGATGTTACTCTGTGAAGGACCACTATATAAATGAAAGTTGTTGTTTGTTGATGTGGGATATACAGTATACAGTAGTCAAGTTTGTGCATTTGTTCTTGTTCATTCATAAATAATGATAATTTAAATTTAACAATACAGTTTAAATTTAACAATACGGTTTTCAAAAAAATGTTTTATTGTCATGTTATTTACACTTTAAAATTGTATTGAAGTTGTATATAAGTGGGCAGGATGAAATTTTTGGAACTTCCTGAACGAAAGATAGTATTGAGCCCACATTAATGAATGTGATGATGCTACATTGAGTGCACAAGCAGAAAATCCCTCCCATTGTGTCAAATATTGAATTGCACAATTTTATATTACAATTAATAACTTGGTGGCATTTTGACTTAAATGAATGCTATTTCTGTTGCTTGACAAGCAAAACAAATTATTAATTTGTTTAATAAATGTTGGTTTTGCATGAATGTTCAGTACAGGAATTGCCAGCAACAAGAACGTTTACAGTTAATCTTAAAGTGTCAGACAAAATATAAGAAATGAATTGGGTAGAATGGACAAACCTGAGAAAGTGCTTCAGAAGAGCAAAACCTAAATGGCTTTTGCCAATCACTACACTTCACAGTAAATTAATCCCTTTGAGTAAATGAAGCAGTTTGAGATGCCTTGCTGATGTAAAAGGTACTATATTTACTGCAAGGTTTATTATTTTATTTAAGGAATAGTTCCTATTGCAGTCTTGCAACAACATTGATATTATCCACATATAATGGAATATTCCCAACACTGGAAAGAAATACCACCTGGGGCTAAAGTTACTCTTTTTTTTGTATTTCAAAACTTGCAGAATTTAGCAGATAGTTGAATTCAATCGTAACTTTGAAACTGATGTTCTCAAATCACTGACAGGAAACCAACTTCAAAATCAGATCAATTTGCCCAAATCAGAAGAATTTGCCAAATTCTGGGTGCTCTAAAATGCTAAGAAAATAGAGTAAATTTAGACCATGGGTGGAATTTCTACTCCCAAAAGAGAACAAAGTGAAAGATTCTACACTTAATGACGAAAATTAGAATTTCATTGTCTTTAATACTGTGGCCACCAACGTTTTCAACAACCCTGGCAGTCCAAAGTATAAACAAGTAAGAATAGCATAGTCTACTTCAAGTTCAATCTTTCTCTCTGGTTCTGTCAATTTTAGTTCTCTTCTCATATAGGCAAACCTGTCTTCAACAACCTCTCAAGCGATTGGGCCAATGTGGCCTTTATATTAGAGTGGCCTTGGAGTAAATGTTCATTGGCGTGTGAACACAAACTGAAGGGGCTGTTCTATGGTGTTTCTTAACAGAGGGTTGTTGCTGAATGGAGGTGGTTGCTTAAACAGGTTTGAGGGTATACCTAATCTTTATTTTTAT